GACAGGCGAAACGAAGGACCCGCATGGTGTGTTGGTGAACGCGTTACTCCCCGGAAAGGACAATAGCGCGTTCGTTCCCCACCATAGACACCTGCGGTCCAGAGTTTTGTAAGTTCAGTAAATTCGCGATCGGAACGAAAGCAAATCAGAACGGGTAAAGAGACTTCCAGTGAAGACGTTGAGAGGCAACAATGAGGAATTGTGCGGGAAAAGAGCAGAAAGGGCCGCATTCGAGCGTGTTTCCGATACCTTGTGAAGTGTAACAGCCGTGTACAACGTCTTTGACGTGCTTGTAATGCAGTTGCTGGAGATATACTGAAGACACGCTGGATCAATCACTGGTTCGATCCTGTGCTCCGAACTCACCAAATTTCCCATCCGACCGCGGTTGGAGAATTGATGTTGGACTTTCTTGAGAGGGTAAAGAAGCTGACTTGATGCATCCATCGGTAGGCGATGCCTTCATGAGTGATTTTATTGATCAATAATGCCTTTAATCACCTCAACAATAATACGAATGAGTCGGATGCAAGGCGCATTTTTCAAGCATTTATCAACGGAGGACGGTTTATCCTAATATCCTCTATACAATATCTTTCTGCACAAATTAGACTTTCGAAAAGTGCGCCATATTCGAGATTCAAGCAGCAGCCTGCTATTCTGGTAAGAAGAGTCGACGACAGACAGATGAGAAGAGCAGAAAGTTAGACTTGACGACAACAATCATCTACAAGATTAGCTGTGCTTGTTGGTCCTATCAACCAGGTGTATCATAATCGAAGCAGACCATCACCATGGATGACTATCGTAGAGGAAAGAAATGAGTAGAAGCTTTACTGGATGCCGCATTGCTCACTAAGAAAACTTTCCAGGTAAAAAGCACCTACCCAAATAATTACCCAAATAATAAATAAGTAGGTAGCTGAGTAAATACCTTTCTGTTATTTGTTCATATGAAAGCGGGTAGCCCAATGACACAGTGGCGCTAGTCATCACGAACATGGTAGTGGTTCGACTCTATCCCGAAGTCGGAAAACTGCTATCAGACTTGTCCAAGCTCGGATCACTATCTCCAGTCCACTTGAGAACGCTCACAGTGGCTATCCTAGGATTGCAAAGAGAATCAACGCGAGCAGCATACAACGACATTCATAACCAACACGAAAATCCTCAAGCAGTAGTTGAACGTACCCGCATGTCTCAAGATCTTCCTGGATGATGGTTGCGAGGAAACAAATCGAATGCAGGATGGGCTGGGGTCCAAACAGAAGATATGAACATAGGTCATATAGAAAGAAATAAAATATTTTATGACATATTTTGTCTTTCTATACGTTAACATCCTATTTTCCGGTTTGTAAACTCAAATTTATGGCATTAATTGTGTACCGTACCTCGAAACGACGGATCTCCCTCATATGCAGGATCTTGAGACGGCTAGACCCGAGGCTACATGACGCGTCCCCAGGTGGCGGATAGGGGGTTAATCGCAGACCAAAAGCGGCTTATGCTTTTCTGAGACACAGGTGGATCCAGGGGATGGACTACCTGTTTTTGCTGCGCTGATATGGCACGTACTTTATGTATCTGCTAGGCGTATTCATACATGCGTGTGTGGGTGCGTTCTCGCTTATGCGAATTGTATTCTACGAGTTAATTCGGCGAAAAGCCTGCGATCAAGTGACAGGGAAGTATATGGGAGGCGGATAGGAGTCGCCTCCTACAATTAAGCTCCATGTATACTTTGGGAGAGACTGGCAAGCTATCCGTGATCATACCCAGCTCCACGTTCAGAGCCCAGCGACCTATACGTGGGTGTCAAAATACTAAACACAGTAAAAAACGGGCTTCATTTCCCTGACCCCGAAAGAGCCCCCAATTTCGCAGCGTTGAGTAGGACGAGAACGGAGAGGCTGCTAAAATCTCAGGAACAATGGAAGATGCCTGGATTACAAAGAACTATGGTGACGATCTGTACCTACAATGCACGTACACTTGCATCCGAGTTCTCGATAGAAGACTTGCTCATGCAAGCAAGAAGGATAAGGGACCACTTCATCGGCCGGGCCGAGGCCAGACGACACCACCCATTCAAAGCCGTCTGTGATACCGAAAAAGAACTGTTCCTCGAAACATGCGACGGTTGAGGAGTAGGCGACGTCGGCGTTTTCGTCAACACGAGTTTGTCCATGAACATCGATTTATTCGAACAGCTTACAAACCGAATCGTACGACTACGATTGAAAAGATGTGGATCAATACCGGCTCAGACAATTTTCGTCGTTTACGCGCCGACATCAAACTGTGAGGATGAAGGAGTTCTATATGGACATGGAGAAGTTCTACAGAGAAGGCCATACATTTCTCAAGGTCGTCATTGGAAAATTCAACGTCAAAACTGGACCAAGAAGAACGTCTGAAGAACATCACATGGAGACCTACGGATTAGAAAGGACCAGCATGAGCGGCTATCTGAGTTTATTATGGCGACGAAGACCATCCATGCTAACTCGCAATTCCAGAAGCCCCACCTTCAACGCTGAACGTAGGAGTCTTCCAATGGAGAGTACCATAACGAAATAGACCACATCATAGTAAACAGGTTTTGCCTAACCAATGTCACTGTTGTCCAAAAATTCTACACGGGATCAGACCATCGCCTCCCTCGTGCAAGTCTATTTCTCGCGTGAAGGAGAAAAAGCCGCTAAATTCCAAAAACGAAGTCCCAGAACCACCGCAAACTGAGATTTATTCAATTTATGAGCCGACTGTTGGGAAGATGTCGTTATCGGTAACATCGACGAAGCATATGACCAGCTCATGCGACATTTTCACGTTAGCGCTATGAAAGCTGATAGTTCGAAAGCCACCAAGAGACGTCTGTCTCCAGAAACATTCGAGCTCACACGCACAAGCTTGCAAAACAATGCAGACAGACGATAAAAGACGATCTTAAAGAGAAAAAAGCAGCAGTTATGGTCGAAGCTGCAAAGGCTGGGAAAAGCATTCACGAAGTCCCAAGAGGCCTCGCCAATTACGAGACCAAGATGATTGCACTCCGACACCCAGACGGAACAGTTACAGCGCCCAGAAAGGCAATGGAAAAGTCATTCACGAATACTACTCAAATCTCTTCGACAACCACGTCTCGATTCTCCCTTCCAAAATCCAACATGCCATTTCACCGATGAAAAATCGAATAGCACCAGGTCCGGACAGAATAAGATCAGAACACCTGAAAAACCTTCCGCCAGCCCTCGCAAGCGCGCTGGCTCGGCTCTCCACATGTTATCTGTCTGAACGCAAGGTTCCTACTTAGTGGAAGGCCAGCAAAACCGTGTTATTGTTCAAGAAGAATGACCTACACGATATCGGCAACTATCGCCCAAACCGTTTCCTGTCTGCCGTCTACAAACTTTTCACTCGAGTCATCCCAAACAGGATTGACTGAACACTAGACGAAGAACAACCACGTCAGCAATCAGAGTTGCGAAAAAAAATTTAGTACGATGGACCACATCCACATGGTAACAAGGCTCATTGAAGTATAACAAGAGTACAAAAGACCGCTGTGTCCCACTTTCATCGATTTACAGAAGACCTTTGATTCAATTGAGACGGAAGCAGCCATGGAAGCCCTTGATAGTCAAGGAGTCCCTACTTAGTACATAAAGATTCTTCGTGAGCTGTACAGAAATTTTACAACGAAGATATCACCATTCTACAAAGATATTAACATTGACGTCAAAAGAGGAGTTAGGCAAGGCGACACTATCTCGCCAAAATTATTTACCGCCACACTCCAGAACGTCATGCGAACAGTGGAATGGGGATAATATGGGAGAGAAAATCGATGGTCTGTAGTTACACCATCTTCGCTTTGCTGATGACATCGTCGTTAATTTAATTCACAGAATTCGCTCATATAAGCCTGTTATTCTGATGGGAGGGGCACATTACGCTTCCATGTGAATTCTGTGCGGTCGGTCTTCACGCGACATACTCAGTGGAAGACTCATAGAAAGCGGTGAGTGTGCAGAGCCATGCTAAATGTGATTGAAATCTTGGTTTAGCATTTTCTCTGTTTGGTTATGGTGGTGTTTGGCCGAATGGATTGCTGTCAACTTGACCCCTCAAGGCTCTGAGGAAGGCGAAATCCGCCGAAACGTCAGCTTGTACGTAAATAAATAAAGAAATAAAATAGCAGCTCGTGTTTGCTGAACAGAAGTAGAAAGATAATGCTGCTGTTTCTTATCTATTTACTACAAGGTACAAAAAATTGTCTTCAAGCTGTCCTGACATCTTTCCAACCATCATATTCGTGAGCCGATCCAAAAATATGCTGGCTTTTACATCGTATTGTGGATTTTTCTTCGTACTTCTTCGAGGCACTTTCGTTGCTTTCTACTTCTCGAATTTTAATTTTTTGTTTCATATCTTTGATTTCCGATGAAGAAACAGTCGCTCGTCATTTTATTCCTACTGTGTTCTCACTTCGCTCCAACACAGACCATACTCCTTGCAAACCAGTTCGGATGTGGTGGCGGATGCGGTGGCAGCAGTGGTGGTGTTGATTTTCTTGGAATGCTAACTACAACCGCTGCTGCTACTACGGTAAGACGAAAATTGCTCATTATTGGACTTCGCATTAAAAATTGCTAAATACTTTTTTCGATCAACACTGAGAAAGTTCGAAAACGACGTCAAACAAAGAAGGATTTCACTGTTTTCTTAATAAGCAGAGGCGACATCCTTAACAAGATTCATTCAGTAAAATATTGGGTGTTAGAGGAATCCTGAGCCACGTATGACTCTGTGAGACTCTTTCCTTACTAAGTAACGTGAAGACTTATAGAGAACAAAATGGATCTGAAAATGGCAAAAGCACTGAGAGCTCAGGCAATATTGCACTGAATAAATCTTGTTCTTAACAAGCTCGAGTCTGCTGATCAAGATAAAGGTGAATATTTTTTATCAATAACGAGGTTAATAGAATGTCGGTCTTCGAGAAGAAAGATCTCATTATTGTGCTTTTTTCAAAGATTTGCTGATAACAAAGATCACTCTTAATGAATGCACCTTGACGATGATGATGATGATAATTATAATGAAGAATAAGAAATGCACGAGTAAAGAGATCAGTTGGGTGGGCATAGCACAGTGGTAAGTGACGCCCTCGATCAGGGAGCGAAGGCGCCAATTCGATCCTTCCCCCGCTCTCCTCCAATCCACGTAGGAACGTCTCATCACAACTATCTGCTCCATTGCAAAAAGATTTGACTCCACGTGCATTTTATGACATTCATAAAAAAGATAAAATCCTCAAGCAACAACTGAAACAGTACGCGAAATGTTTGAAAACCATTGTGGACGATAAATGCGAGGAAAACGAATCGAATTCAAGAAGCGCTGAAATCTCAATGGCAGACGTATTGATGAGTGATGCAAAAAAAAAACCAGTTTACAGCAGTTGGAGTTTCAGTGGTTATTGAGATCTTTTACAACTTCTTTAGGGGCGTGTGTGGCTCAGTGGTCGCAGGCGCCCTGCAACACACATGTGGAATCGATCCCCGCGCCCAGGGCCCACCAAGACTTTCATCACTCCGGGGTCAGCAAATTGGTACCAGACATACATCGGTAGGCCATCGCGAGTCATTGTAAAGGCCAGATATGCATTCAATCACCTCCAAACAATGCTTAATGAAGTCGAATGCATGGCGCATTCCTCAAGGATTGATCAACGCCGAGAGCTTTGTCCGCATACCCTTTTACCACTTCCATGGGACGTTAAGCTGTGAGTTGCTGCTTATTTACACGCTATGTGAACGACAACCGTTACTTTATTTATACGACTCATCGTCACATATTTTCCGCATCCCACCACTTCATTCATCCGCTCCAGTTCCTGCAGCGTTTATCAGCGGGCTCTTCGACTTAATTCTCGCCGGAATCCCAAGTAACTGGTAGTTCAGCTAGTCGGTTTTCAACAGTTTATCACGGCCTGTCGTTAGCCTATATGGATCACAAAAAGCTCTTCCCATATAACTGTGACAAAAATTTTACGGCCTTAAAAAGGAGTTTTAATCAGCGCCGGAAGTTGTTGACTAAGATGCATATGTGTTTTGCAGAGAGTCTCTAACCACTGTGCTTTTCACGCCTTTGTGCAGGACGATACAATACAATATCCGCTTTTACTGGTACCTAGCTGGAAACTATGAGCAAAAAGGCGTTTTTCCTGCCACATCGAAAAGATGAAAGTGCCGGAAAGCGCTTCTCTCCCAACCATTCGATACGCGGGTCGATAATGAAAAATGAAAAGGTCCGCATAAAAAAAAAATGAAAAAAAAAAAAAATGAAAATGAAATTTGACAAGGACTATCCGATTTCCTCTTGCACTTCGCAATCGCAATTCTTTACAAACATTTGCATGTCTCGCTCTTCGACAGGGTCCCACATTTACGTAGAAAACCGTGGAATGTTTCACACTTTCTTCACCATTCATACGAGTTCTTTGATAGCAACCATGTGAGATCCGTAGTCAGTGACAACGCAACCTCTTGCATACTATGACGTAATCTCGCCTAGCAACTCCAATCGCAACGATGGAAAAAACTTTGCTACGATGTTGCTGAACGAAGAACTGACGACGAACGGATTTTTCACGAACAAACGAAGTCAACTGTGCCAATCAAAATTTTATTTGGATACTTAGATACATGGATGACGTGACTTCGCTGGTTTAGCCATTGTGGTTCCCTGGCGTCCCGAGGTCAGCCAGATCAGAAGGAGATTTCCACCATTAGACTGGTTTGATACTAAGACAGTGGTGGATCCTGGTATTGTTTTACTCTTAGCTGGGTTTCCGGAAGGAAACGCCGGATTCTTTCTCAGCCCGGAAGGCCCTGCAGTGGAGATGAATCCACCTGATGTACATCGCAGCCCGACACCCCGACACCCAGGAACACCTCCCAGCCACGATGAGGTAGTAAACGGTTGGGGTTGGAAGGAATCAAAACTTAGGCAAGAAAACAGTTAACAATCTTTTACGTCGCTTAAAAACAAGAGAGGACAATCCGTTTGGCTCTGATTTACCCCTCTGAGATGCCCAATGCATTTGATTCCATTTGTAGCAAAGCAAGGGCATCTGCATGTTTGTTCTTTATAACGGCTTCTAGGCATCAGCATCCATATCCTGTCAGCGTTTTTATACACTTTCACACAACTATGATACCAATTTTACCGAGGGATTAAGATGTTAGATTGCGCTGAGAAGTTCAAACCAATGTTTGCATTGCGTTACACCTCTAACCAGTACGCTATGTGCGTCCATCGGCGAAGATTAATAAAGAGAAAATTTGCTTATGTCGAAAATTTAACTACTGGCTGTAGGCAGTGGGATACTACGTCCTTGAGGTCTTAGTACATCTCATTGAGAGGCATCAATAAACGTTTATCAATGAATGTTTGGTCGAAAAATCACAAATAGTCACCTCTATGATTGATTTCTTGATCAAATCATTCAAGACTACTGGTGACTGAATGTTATGAGGGTTCTTCTTTCAGACAGAATCATCACAACCGACCACGCAAAATGCTTTTCAACGAGCCGGTTGGCAGACGGATGACAAAGGTAACGTCTTCATCGGCACGGATGACGCGAAACTACTTCTGATATCTGTCGGCTCGTACTGGCCCTTCCCTAAGGATTATCGTAAATGATGATCACTTCGCCTCGATGGCTCACCACCACTGTGAGTGATTTCAAATGTAATTCTATTGAAATTCACGAGAAAAATCCAGCTCCATCCGAAAGCACTGATATCGCTATGAATGTACATTTGGGCTATTATCACATTTCAGTGTATTTTTATTGTTAAAATCCGAGAACGTTGTAATAAATCACGATGCCTAGTGTTTTCTTATGCATGACAAAGTGTTTCAACGGATGAAACCAGTCGCGACGGGACAAATTATTTTCATCGATCAAATCAGACACGAAGAATTTTCTTAAGACGTAACACTGAAAAAACCAGTACTGAATCGTCGTCTTTGTCTACAGGAGAGCAGTGTTCATTTTATTCCTCCGCATTGTAGCAGCAATTTTTTCGTTTTAATGCAAAAATAAACTCTTCAAATTGAAAGAGCGAAGACAGCATCAGTTGTTCCAGTAGTAACAAATTAGTCGGTCTGAATCTCTAACCTCTGCTCTACCTCCAAATGGTTTACTTCCTTTAGCGTCGCTGGAGGACGCTCAGAAGTATGTAGTGGTGATCCACAGCTAAGAGTTCGTCTCTACAGCAGGATCACCATAAAAACTCAGAAGCGTTTTGACATCTTTATTTAGAACTTCGACGAACCTATAAATTCTATGCAATGGAAAAATCCAGCGAGTTTCAAATGTTCGCCTGGGAATAAATTTCTGCGATGAAAGAGCCTGGTCATAGATCAACCTGCTCACTTTTAACAGAGAAGGAGGCTTTCTTCTTCCAATATCTTTTTAAGGATTTTGAACGATTTATAATAATGCTGTTGCGTCTCCACTGAGTTCGTAATACCTTATCCTCTAGGACTCTCACACAGAGGTTTTCGTCAGCGAACACCACCCCAGGTTCGCACAAGCTTATCCTAAACATACTAACCTGTTTGGCAACGAATCTGACTTCCTATCACGGGTCAACAATGTTCGAAACTCGGAGACTCAAGGAACTGAAAAATAATAAGAGCAGCAAGCAAATCGCAAAGACATCGGTTGAAATAACATAAATTTTAGCTACTTTTGTCTTGTCATCTCACTTGACAAGTGGGAGAACTCGCATGCGAACTGGACGGTACCGTTGTACAGAAAGCTTTCCACTGCTGATATGTCTATTAAACATTAACTAACCACTAACTAACCACTCTCCATATAATAAAAGAATGAAGTATAAAGCTCACGGTGTTGATCAATCCCTGAGGGATGCGCCATGCATTCGACTTCATTAAGGTATCGTTGGAGGTGATTGAATGCACACCAAGCCTTTACAATGACTCGCAGTGGCTTACTGATGTATCGAGTCAGTGCTGCTATCCTCCCAGACAAGTCTGGTACCAATTCGCCGACCCCAGAAGAATGGAAGGGTTGGTGGGCCATGGGCGCGGGGATCGATTACGCGTATATGCTCCAGTGTGCCTCCGACCACTGCGCCACAGGCGCCCTGTGTAAGTCATTATAATATAATATATATAAAGTTATATAGTAATAGTTATATAATAGCGTTCATTTTCATATTCCCAGAAAATTTTACTTCTTTCGTCTTTTCTTGGTTTCTGCTTTTTCATTCGGTGTTAATTCCATTCTCTTCTGGTTTTGTGAAACACCATTTTTACACTAAAACTGACCGACTTGCATTCAGTGTAAAAAAAACCGCTGCAAACAATTCGTGCCATCTTCGGGAATTGAACACTACTGGGTGCCAAATACCTTCATGGATGTCTTCTTTGCCTTCAAGAATGCTTAAGCCCCGATGCATAAATTGTATCAGAGTGACGTTTGTCTTCCCATTCGGGTAAGTCGACCATTCTCACCTGCCCTGAAATTGCTGCTCTAAGACGTTTAATAGACTTATTAGTACCAGTGTTGCTACTGAGAGGAGATGAACGCTGAGTGGATAACATAGCACCAATTCCTCCTATATCGTCTCTCTACTCCTAGTTTTCATGTGATGAGGTCTATCTCATTGAAGGTCCTTTTCACAGAGTTCCACAACAGTCGAGTCTGCTACTTTTCCAGTTATATAGTACCCATTACAAACGCAAAGATGGAATATTTCATATCTTTTTGTGGATGGTTGAGTTTTTTGTCTATTTTTTGCACGATTCTGTAGTTGATCTTCGGTGCAATTTTTTTCGTGTTAATCGCGGAAGAATGTGTGTGGCGCAGTGGTCGGAGGCACACTGCAGCATACACGTGTAATCGATTCCCGCGCCCATTGCCCACCAACCTTTCTATCTGTCCGGGGTCGACAAATTGGTACTAGCTTTGTCTGGGAGGATAGCAGCACTGGCTCGATACATCGGTACGCCACCGGCGAGTCATTGTATGGGCCATATATGCTTTCAATCACCTCCAAGTGGTGCTTAATGATGTCGAATGCATGGCATCCCTTAGGGATTGACCAACGCCAAGAGCTTTGTCCTTTTTTCATCCTTTGACCGCAGAAGGAGAGTTCAAAATACAAACACTGTGAAAGATATCTGGATTCTAATGAGAGAAGTTGGTGTGGAAAACTGCAAATCGGAGACTAGTAGATTAGAGGTTTTAATTCGTCATCTACTACTTCATTTTTTCGTCTCGTCATTTCTTATTATACGCCTAAAGCGTGACCATCCAAAGAACACTAAAATTCATACAAAAATCACTACCACATTATCATTGGCAAATATCTCCCGTAGTAGAATGATTGTACCGTAACCCGATAGCAAAACTGGTATGCAAAGATGTCGCCATGAGTGTCACTGCATCTGAAGATACCATCACATCATCCATAATCATCATCAATGTAAGAAGTTCGTGTCAGCAACCATTTCCACTTTTCTACTGCTTGTTCACCTGCTCACTTAGTTCATTCGCAACTCAAAAGCTATCTGTTGTTCTTCGCCCATTTTCCCCATCCTAAATAAACTTTTAGAAGTGGAAGTAAACGTGGAAGTATGGCATCATACTATTCAAAGATAGTTTTTTATCGTGTACTTGCATACGAATACGATACGACTCAGCAGTAACCATCGTCAGCAGGTCAGCAATCGACGATATGCCTTTCGTAGTTTCATAGAATTCTAGGTCAGTTTAACTGGAGGTTGATTTTAATTTAAGACTTAAATAACATTGCCATCTTCATATGACGCGAAGCATTTTCCTACGCTGATTGTTGTACTCGACTTCGATACAATTAAGAAGTGTTTTTACGGGAATATTGTTTCATAGGCGATATGGTAAGGTCTTTACTTCACGGGTCTCTTCCGGATAAATCACAACTATGTTACGATACCTGTTCTTCAGTAACACATGCAGTTGTTACTTCATAACGTTTCAGAAAAAAATGGACGAATTTTGTAAAGTGTTTTGAATCTTTGACCCTCACTACACCTCTTAATGTCTCCGTTAACCACCACTTCGCTTCCCTTCTTTGTGATAAGGTGTTAAAATTTGCGTTCAAATGAATGACACACCTACCAACTAACCTTTTTCGGCATCCTCTAGAATCGACTAACGAATCCAAGGACAATTCAAAAACACCTACTAAGGTTTGGACTGCAGGTACTCTTCTTCGAGACAAACGAAGGATTGTGTTTGGATTTCGATGAGGAGAATGCTGCTTGCTATTTTCTTCCTACTCTGCGTCGTCGTTAATCCATTTCTGGCACACCACAGAGGATATTATCATCATTATTATTATTGCTGTTATCCAAGGCCCGCCACTACTCAACTACCAACTACGGTAACAGTAAAGTACTCATTAAAGTTTAAGTTTAACGTTTATTTACAGCTTATTATTTCTTCATGGCAGGGTAATATGCGAAATATTACCTCAGTGATGGTGAGACATGAGCAAAACTTGGAGCCCCAAATGAGCTTCGAAAGTGCGATTACAATTTACGGAGAAACACGTGTTATCCACTGTACCACGGAGGGCATTACTTGCTTTAATTTTCTTTTTCTTATTCTTTTCTCTCTCTCTTTCTTTAATTCCAGTGACTGCTAATGGGACCATTAGATTTAAACGCTGGTTGAGAGGAAGTCAAAGAAAGGAACATTGTGGTGCTATGGAGAACACCTGAGCCCCGACAGAGTAATTGAGGTCCTCCTGGGGTGGCGAGTTTTGCTTATGTCTTAACATCATTGCAGTTGTATTTATTAAAGACCATGGGACAATCAGGACATAAAATACTTCAGTGGTAAAAAAAAATATTCCTATAATGAAGTTTTTATTTACAATCTTAGCCGTTTTAACTACTGCCACCTCCTTTTAATGGCATCATTGAAGTTATATTTCGCAATGCACCCTTCCATTAAAAAGAGTAGGCAGTAGATAAAACGGTTAAGATTGTGATTATAAGTGAAGCCTCAGGTTAACTGGGTTCAATGCCAATATGTGCTCCATAGATCAATACCGCTGACGAGTGATTGCCGATGGCAAAGATCGATAGAACTAGCTGAGAGAGGAAGAAGGAAGGACACGTATGGTGTGGTGGTGAACGCGTTGCTCCCCGGTAAGGACCACAGCGCGTGTTCGTTCCCCACTGCATACACCTGTGGTCCGGAGTTTTGCAAATATCTCAGCATCTTTTTTTTCGAAACCGACCTTCCCTAAACCTCGGTGTGATTAATCAATATGTATTCTTTCTTGATAAGCTTACACGAGGTTGATAAATATATTTATTTTCGGCTAACGTTTCGACGTCTTCGTCTTCCTCAGAGCCGGTGATCCGAGTCGATGGTCCATGCTTGTTGTTCGCCTCGACGTTGCGTCTTCGTCTTCGTGTCGAGCCAGATCTTCCTCAGTGAGCCATCTTCTCGAATGAGGCATCCTCACTCAGTGATGCCCTTTTATACACGATGCTGATGGTGGATATATAATGACAATGTCCGGTGGTAACAACTTGTATTTCTTCCGGACATACATCACTGCGCACATCGTGCAGAGGTCGGTGTATTATCTGCAAATATCTCAGCATCTTTT